GTTCCTATGGTGCCACTTCTCACACTATTGTTATTTATTGCTGCATTACCTCACTTTATTTTTGAATTCATTATGAAAATTCAATCCATATTGTGGCGCAGGTTTGTGCTGGAGTGTCATTTTATTTTAGATCAAGTTTTTGTGCAACAAGGAAGAGAATTTGTTTCGAGACCAGATTGTGACCAATCACAGCAGACCACTGGCCCCCACTTTCTTGAGAAAAGCTACAGGTCTCTCGTTAGCACAGACAGCAGAGGTAAACAAGCGGCGGTGGCTAACCTGAAACTCCCCGAGACGTGAGCTCCGTAAACAGCACATGTACGGCTGAGGGGGAGGGGGGTAGTGGGGGGCGAAAGCTCCGTGAGTGCGGGGAGGGGGAGCAGAAGAGCAAGGCCAGCGCTCACATTTGAAAATGTCTCAAAGTGAGTTAGTGCAGCTCTAAAGGTCCCATATTACAATTTTTGACTTTTCTCTGGTTTAAACATCATTACAGTGCTTTTTGGCCTTCATACATATACACAGTTTTTTCATTGATTCCCTCAAGCTTTAGTTAGAGAGCCATCTTTCTCTTTCATTCTCAGAGGCTCAAAAACAACCTGATTCCCTGTTGTGGCACACTTTCACACGCAGCTCGAGCCTCCATGAGATTGACAGGAGAGAGAAACCAAAACAGCAGATCAGCTCACACAACCTTTCCCAGAGCATGAACCCGCTACAGTCTGCTCGCTTCTAGCTGTTTGTTTGTTTTTGCTATTGTCAGCGACTAAAAGTGTTAGCATCATGTCAACTTGGAGATAGTTTGTTTTTGGTTGTCAATATATGAATTGTACCTGTACTCTCTATTCACAGAGATTGTCTTTTGAAATGTGTGATAAATCTGTGTTTCTTCAAAACACTTCTAAAGTGCTGTTCCCACCGGATCATGCACTGCGGCAAGTTTCAATGCAAAGTCAAAGGTGTGGGGGAAGGAAATGCATTCACTTTTGTTCTATTTGGCAGGCGCCTTGTTGCGGCGCAGCAGAGGCTGTGGGTACGGCACCTAGATGCATGCAGCAAAAGCAGATGAGAATCACTAAACATTCTCGCTCCACGCACATGCGGCAACCAATCAGAGAGCAGCAAAGTTGTCACAAGGACATGAGCCGGTCCAAATAGGAAGATGAAGACACTCAAAAACCACCAAAACATGAGCTAAACCAGGATTAAACCAGGGCTGAGGATGGGGGACACGGTGCTTGTGAACATATGTCTTCACTCTGAGTTGACATTCTACTGTGACTGTAAACAAGTGCTGCTAACGTGTTCACCGATATGGAAGTACTGGGTAGCATCAAAGCCCGCCCTGCTTTTTCCCCACAATGCAGGGCAGTTTAGTCAAATTGACTAAACTCATGTAGCTTTTATTTAGTTAACGTGTGTCCATGCAGCGGTGGTGGAAACACAGCTAAAGACTGCTTGTTCACCCAAATTATTATCAGAAAAGCAAAATGTAGGACATTTAAGGGAGACGATTGATTCACAAACACATTTTTTAGCTTTTCACAATGTTACAACATGTTCCACTTATCAAAACCTCACCCGGAGTTATTCGATCCATCCATGCTAATATTCTCGCACAAACATGTAGCCCATAATGTCCATAGAGACACCAGAGGTAGTATTTTAAAGGTACCAGAGAGAGAGTAATTAGAGACTGATCAGAGAGAGACCAGAATGAAACAAGAGACCAGAGAGGGATTTGAAAGAGATCAGAGAGAGACCAGACGGAAATAAAAGAGCGACCAGAGAAAGATTAGAGAGACCAGACAGATTGAGCAGAGATAGAGAGTAGAGCAAGAGACCAGAGAAAGACAAGAGAGAGCAAGATAGACCAAAGAGAGACCAGAGAGAGAAAGAGAGAGACAAGCGAGAGACCAGAGAGATAGAGAGAGAGACCAGAGCAAGACCAGTGAGAGATTAGAGAGAGGCGAGAGGGAGGGCAGAGAGACCAGAGACACCAGAGAGAGACCAGGGGAGAGTTTTTGCCGTTACCTGCTGTGCTCACGGACACCAGCAGGACGCTTCTGAGGCCGGAGCGAAGTTTTAGAACAGTGAGAATATACTGCAAGAACAAAACATTATATTTATTGTATTATACTAATAGCTAAAATTGTCTTGGTCCCTTTGCAGAAAAAATACCCCCAAAGCATCATGTTTCCACCCCCATGCTTCACATTAGGTATGAATTATAGCATTTTCAAAAAGTTAGATTTTGGTGGCAAAGAACACCATACCAACTGTGAAGCATGGGGATGGGAACTTTGGGGTGAAAGAAAGTAAGTAATTTTGTTATTGGCTAAATACTTTCCACCATCATTTTCAAAAAAAATCTTTAGAAGTCAGATTTGAATTACAGACATTGCTCATCTTTTGAAGTGAGATGACTTGCACAATTGGTGGCTGACTAATTGTTTTTTGCCCCACAGTATGTGAATAACCGTGTTTGTGTACTAGAGACCAGATAGGGACCAGAGAGGGACTAGCGAGAGAGACCCGAGAGAGCTCTGAGAGAGAGACCAGAAAGAGACGAGAGAGAGGCTGGAGAGAGAGACCTTAGAGAGAAAAAAGAGAGCGACAACGGGAAGAGAGATCTGAGAGACCAGAAAGAAACCAGAGAGAGAGAGACCAAATAGTGACCAGAGAGAGAGACCTGAGAGAGATCAGAAAGGGAGACCCGAGAGAGGTCAGAAAGAGAGACCTGAGAGAGACCCACGAGGGATCAGAAAGCGAGACCTGAGAGAAAGAACCAGAGAGAGACCAGATGCACTAGAGAGAGAGACCTGAGGGACCAGAGAGACCAGAGAGAGAGACTCGAGAGAGACTCGAGAGAGATCAGAAAGAGAGACCTGAGAGAAAGAACCAGAGAGAAAGATCAGAGATAGACCAGATGTACTAGAGAGGGACCTGAGGGACCAGAGAGAAAGACCAGAAAAAAAGACCAGAAAAAGTGAGACCAGAAGGACCAGATAGAAACTGACTGAAGCCTGAGACCAGAGAAAGACAAGAGAGATCAGAGAGGCCAAAGAGAGCAGAGAGAGACAAGAGAGGGATCAGAGAGAGACCAGAGAGAGGGATCACACAAAAAAGAGCAGAAAGATACGAAAGTTTAGAGAAAGAGAGAGTTGAGAGACAGACCGGAGAGAATAACCAAAGAGTCCAGGGGGAGGGTTGATGCTGTTACCTGCTGTGTTCCCGGACACCAGAAGGACTCTTCTCTTCTGAGGTCAGAACGAGGTTTTGGAACAGTGAGAATATACTGCAAGAACAGAACATTATATCAGATTCAGATTCGGTTTACAGTATTTGCCATTTGCAGTAAAAACACCACATTGGAATACATTAGCAAAAAGTCTCCAGTGTGCACAGACAAATACAGACATAAAACAACATAAAAGACAGAAATAAAACTAATAAAACAGTAAACAAATGTCTGTGAATGTCTGTGAAATCGATCGACTAAAACAGTTCAAAACAAGTGCAAATCATTAAAGTGCTCTGTTCAGACTAATAACAGCTTGTGGATAAAAACTGTTAGCGTAACGAGATGTCCTGCATCTCAGAGAGCGATATCTTCTGCCAGAGGGAAGAACCTGGAACATGGCTTTCCCAGGGTGGCCAGAAGAGTCATTGATAATTCTAAGAGCTTTGTTTAAAAGTCTGGATTTATAAAGAACCTCCAGAACAGGAAGCTCACAGCCCACAGTCCTCTTAGCAGAGCGGAGCACCTTGTTTAAAGATCTCTTTTCTTTATCTGTGATGTTTCCAAACCACACAGACACATAACCAACAAGTAAACTCTCACTGGTGCAGCGATAAAAGTTAAGCAGAATCTTAGAGTTAGTGGTTAATTCTCTAAGTTTACGCAGTAAGTAGAGACGCTGACGAGCTTTCTTAACAACCCGGTCAGTGTTTTTAACCCATTTCAGGTCGTTAGACAGAGTTAAACCCAGAAACTTGCACTCCTCTACGATCTGCACCTGGGAGTTGTCGATAACTACAGGCAAATGAGAACTATTGCGACTGAAGTCGTAGACCAGTTCACATGTTTTCGATGCGTTCAACTGGAGGTTGTTAGTTTTACTCCACTGAACCACATTTTGTATCTCTGCTCTATAAGAGGATTCATCAGTGTCACTGATGAGACCAATGATGGTGGTGTCATCAGCATATTTGATGATCAAGTTTAAGTCAGAGGAGGACACACAATCGTGAGTGTACAAAGTAAAAAGCAAAGGACTCAAAATACATCCCTGAGGAGATCCAGTGCTCACAGAAACAACAGAAAAACAGTCATTGATTTTCACTCTCTGAGATCTGTCAGTTAAAAAGCTAAAAATCCATTTACACATGGCAACACTTAAACCGAGAGACATGAGCTTTTCAATCAGTTCGCAACAGATTTACTAGTGTCCAAGTGACTGTAGACAGAGTTCAGAGCAAAGGAGATGGCATCCTCCACACTCCTGTTCTGTCTGTAAGCAAACTGGAGCGGGTCAACACTCACAGGGATCTGGCTCTGAATGAAGTCCAGCACAAGCCGCTCAAAAGTTTTCATAAGAACAGACGTATATTTATTGTATTATATCAATAGCTACAATTGTTTACAGAAAGAAAAACAGACCCAAAGAATCATGTTTCCACCCCCATGCTTCACAGGAGGTATGGTGTTCTTTCTCCTACAAACACGACAAATTGAGTTTTCACTAAAAAGTTCTATTTTGGTTTCATCTGACCATAGAACATTCTCCCAATCCTCTTCAGACGGCCTAGATATGTATTGCCCTAAGCAGAGTACAAGTCTGGCACTGATCCAAAGAAGACTATACCG